GAGAGAAAGGGAGAGAGATAAAGAGTTAGAAACATCGATGAGAGAGAGTCATCGATCAGCTGACTCTTGCACACCCCCTACTGGAGATATGCCCGCAACGAAGGTATACACCCTTGACCGGAATCGAACCCAGGACACTTCAGTCCCCAAGGCAACGCTCTATCCATTGAGCCAAACCGGTTTTGGCTAGTTTCTTTAATATATAAAGAGCTCCTACATCTCATAAGAAAGGCCAGGAACCAATAACCAAAAAGCTTCTGCACGGCAAAGGAAACCATCAACAAGATGAAAAGGCAACCGAATGAATGGGAGGAAATATTTGCAAATCATGTATCTGATAGGAGGTTAATATCAAAAATATATAAGTAACTCATACAACTCAAGAGTAAAAAAAGCAAATAATTTAAAAATGCACAGAAGATCTGAATAGATATTTTTCCAAAGAAGATACAGATGTTCAACAGGTATGTGTAAAGGTGTTGAATGTGACTAATCATTGGGGAAATGCAAATCAAAACCACAGTGAGATAATCACTTCCCAACTGTCAGAGTGGCTATTATAAAAAATGCAACAGCAGCCAAAACCGGTTTGGCTCAGTGAATAGAGCGTCGGCTTGCGGACTGAAAGGTCCCAGGTTCGATTCCGCTCAGGGGCATGTACATTGGTTGCGGGCACATCCCCAGTAAGGGGTGTGCAGGAGGCAGCTGGTCGATGTTTCTCTCTCATCGATGTTTCTAGCTCTCTATCCCTCTCCCTTCCTCTCTGTAAAAAATCAATAAAATATATATTTTTTTAAAAATGCAACAGCTGCCAGGACTGGTTTGGCTCAATGGATAGAGCGTCGGCTTGGGGACTGAAGGGTCCTGGGTTCAATTCCGGTCAAGGGCATGTACCTTGGTTGCGGGCATATCCCCAGTGGGGGGTGTGCAGGAGGCGGCTGATCGATGACTCTCTCTCATTGATGTTTCTGGCTCTCTATCCCTCTCCCTTCCTCTCTGTACAAAAATCAATAAAAATATATATATATTTAAAAAAAAATGCAACAGCAACAAAGAGAAAGCAAATACAGAAGGAAAAAAAAGGCATCAAACAGGTGTTGGCAAGGATGTGGAGAAAAGGGAATTCTCATGCACTGTGGAGGGATTGTCAATTGGTGCAGATAACTGGAAAAACAGTACAGAGGGTTTTCAAAATATTAAAACTAGAACTATTGTATGATCCAAAAATTCTACTGGGTATTTATCCAAAGAAAATGAAAACACTAATTAAAAATACACAGACACACACTCTCACACATTCACACACACATACACATACGGCCATGTTTATTGAAACATTATTTATAGTACCCAAGATATGGAAACTACCTTAAATGTCCATTGATGGATGATAGATAAAGAAGATATGTTATTTATATATACACAGTGGAATACTATTTAGCCATAAAAAATAATGAAATTTTTTGCCATTTGTGCTGCCAAGTCCAGCACAGGGACCGGGTATGGTGCCAGGTGGGGACTGGACTTATGGGGGGTGGGGTCACTTTGTAAATTATGTGTCTAGCCACTGTGCTTTACTCCGGAAACTAATATAATATTGAATGTCATCTGTAATTGACAAATAATAAAAGGTAAAAAAATTAAAAAAAAATTTGCCATTTGTGATAACATGGATGGGCCTTGAGAGAATTATGCTAAGTGAAAAAAGTCAGACAGGGAGAGACAAATACTGTATAAAATCACTTATGTATAATTAAAAAAAAAAAAGTTCAAAGATACAGAGAACTGCCGAAATCGATTTGGTTCAATAGATAGAGCGTCGGCTTGCGGACTGAAGGGACCCGGGTTCGATTCCGGTCAAGGGCATGTACCTTGGTTGCGGGCATATCCCCAGTAGGGGGTGTGCAAGAGGCAGCTGATCGATGACTCTCATCGATGTTTCTAACTCTCTCTCTTCCTTCCTCTCTGTACAAAATCAATTAAATATATTAAAAAAAAAAAAAAAGATACAGAGAACAGATTGGTGGTTGCCAGGAGGTAAGGGGTGGGCAAAATGGGTGAAGGGGGTCAAAAGGTACAAACTTTTTTTTAATTTAATTTTTTATATTTAAATTTTTTATTTTATTTATTTTTAGAGGGAAAGAGGAAGGTGAGAGAAAGAGAAACATCAACTTGTTGTTCTACTTATTTATATATTTTTGGTTGATTATTGTATGTGCCCTGACTGGAGAATTGAATATGCAACCCTGACATATCGGGATGATGCTCCAACCAACTGAGCCACACCAACCAGGGCTAATTTTATTTTTTTAATTACAGTTTACATCCAGTACTAATTTGTATTAGTTTCAAGTGCACAGCCTAGTGGTTAGATAGTCATATACTTTATAAAGTATTTCCCTTGATGTTTCTAGTACCCAGCGGGCACTAAACATAATTATTACAATCTTATTGACTATACTAGTATTTCCTATGCCCTGCTTTACGTCTTCGCGAAGTAAAACTTTTTTTAAAAATATGTTTTTATTTCAGAGAAGAAGGAGAGAGAGAAACATCAATGATGAGACAAAATCATTGATTGGCTGCCTCCTGCACACAATCCAGGCATGTGCCTTTGACTGGAATTAAACTCCCTGGGACACTTCAGTACAAAGGCCAATGCTCTCCATCCAGTGAGCCAAACCAGCTAGGGCCAAAACTTTAAAAAAAAAAAAAATAGAGGTGAAAACAATTTAGAAATAAAAGCAATAAAGTACAGAGAAAAATATGGATTGTTTTAGCAATATAAAAATTTATCTGTGTTTTAAAATGTATCACAAAAAGAAAGTCACTAGCAATGAGCAAAATAAGAACATATTATTGCATGTTTTGAATGTGCTAAATGTCTCACATATCTATAGTCTTCTTCCCTTGGTATACTTTGGGGACTGGTCCAGGACATCCAGAGGATTCAATAATCTGCTGATGCACAAGCCCCTTATATAAAACTAGAGGCCCAGGTCACGAATTCGTGCACAGGTGGGGTCTGACTAGCCTGCCCCAAAATAGGCTGGTACTGATCCGAGGTGGGGCTGGCCCAGGAGAGGGGCTGCAGGCAGTTGGTCGGCCGGCCCCACCCCCAGGTTCAACTCCCAGTCAAATTCCTGGTCAAGGGGACAATTTGCATAATAGCCTTTTATTACGGGATAGGATGGTGTATTTGCATATAACTTATGCATATTCTCCTATATACTTTAAATCATCTCTAGATTATTTATATTACCTAATACAATGTAAATAGTTGCTGAACTGTATTGTTCAGGGAATAACAAGAAAAAAATAGTCTGTGCATGTTCAGTGCAGATGTGGTCATCTAGGCCTGACTGCATAGTAAACATTAGTAACAACATAACATTTTCCCCCAGTATGTTAGGTCTACAGATGCAGAATCCATGGATACAAAGGGCCAGCTCTATTGATTAATCCTCATAACTCTTCTGAGAAATACAGAGTTTTAACTGTATCATACAGAAAGATGAGACTGAGGGATACCTAGAGATGTCAGTATTCAGTTAATAAGGGGCCAGGGGTGTATTTGAACCCAAGTCTTTCAGATTTCAAAGGTGTTTTGTGTGTGTGTGTGTGTGTGTGTGTGTGTGTGTGTGTGTGTTTGTTTTTATTGATTTCAGAGAGAAAGGGAGAGGGAGAAAGAGATAGAAACATCAGTGATGAGAGAATCATTGATAGGCTGCCTCCTACACATCCCACACTGAGGATAGAGCCCACAACCTGGCTGTGTGCCCTGACTGAGAACCATGACCTTCTTGTCCATAGGTCGATGCTCAGTCATTGAGCCTCACCAGCAGTGCTCAAGGGTTTTGTTTTGTTTTTTTGTTTTTTTTTCTTCAAACCTTGCTTCTTCCATTAGAGATTATTTTATGCTTTTCTTAAAGCATAACTATGCTTTAATGATTATTAGCAGCAATTACCTGAAATGTCCACAGGATGGAGATGTTGGGTGAAAGTAGGCATTTCTCTTTGTAAAATAGAATGCTACACTAAGTGAAACATTTAAATAGGTGAATTCTATTTTGCTTAGTGATAATTTCTTTAGTAACTTGTAATATAGGCAGCTTGAATGTTTTTAATATCATTTAATGTTTCTCAGTCATAATTGTTAATATGGCTTACTATGTACCAGATAGTTTTCTACTTTATGAATTCACTTAAAATCTCCTCAAAAAAGAATATTGAGGTGTTATTTATTATAGAATCCATTTTAGAAATGATGAAATGGGCATAGAGATGATAAATTACTCAGAACAGCTAATAAATTGTAGAGCTGGAATTCAAAACTAGATAGTTACTGCTCTCTTTTTGGTTTATGTCAGTTTTACCTGTACATAAATGTAAGAACACTATATATTTAGTTAACTTATTAGCTGGATGTCTCTTGGATTGTATGCCCCCTTATTTCCAGATAAATTGAAATATTAGTAACCATAATTTTACTGTTAAAGAAAACATCTGAGATCCTCTCTTGGGAGTTCAGATATTCTTTTTTTCTTTTTTTAAGTTTTGGTGAATTTTAAAAAAATATATGTTTTATTGATTTTTTTACAGAGAGGAAGGGAGAGAGATAGAGAGCTAGAAACGTCGATGAGAGAGAAACATTGACCAGCTGCCTCTTGCACACCCCCTACCGGGGATGTGCCTGCAACCAATGTCCCTGCCCTTGACTGGAATCGAACCTGGGACCTTTCAGTCCGCAGACCAACGCTCTATCACTGAGCCAAACCGGCTTCGGCTGGAGTTCAGATTTTTTTACCCACCCCCATCTGTTTAATGTTATATCTCTTAAGTTGCCCATGTTTCATCATGGGAATATTGACCTCAGGAAATGCCTCAGATATTACTCTATGACATATTTTTTTTTTCTATGACATATTTTAGATGTGTAAGAAATTAGTTCATTTAGATGTGTAATGAAATAGTTCATTTAAAATGTATGTTTTTCTTAGTTGCAGAACTTGAAGTGAAAACCAGAGAAAAATTAGAAGCTGCGAAGAAAAAAACAAGCTTTGAAATTGCAGAGCTTAAGGAGAGATTAAAAGCAAGTCGTGAAACTATAAATTGTTTAAAAAATGAAATCAGGAAACTCGAAGAAGATGATCAAACAAAAGAGATGTAAATAGTTCTGAAGAGAACTGGGTAGGAAACTAAATTGAAAATAAGGTGGACTTGAAAGGGGAAATAGATTGCTTGTTAACCATCGGTTTCTCAGCAATGGGGTCAAAGTATTTGTACTTTTCAAGCAATATTTAATGTGAAACATGTATATAATAGATATGAATTCTGTATGGGCATTTTAACCCATTTTAGGGTAAATTCTATGATGGTAAGCACAATTAAAAACTTTTTTTTTATTACATTGTATAGCTTATCCTTTAGATAGGCATAGAAATTTGTTATAAAATGTAATTTATACACCGTTCATACTTCCCTGGTAGTTAGAATTAGTGGTAAAATTAATGTGTATATTTAAGTTCTTACCTGCCTTCATCCTGATCCCCTCCCCCCCTTTTTTTTTTTTAGTATTACAAGTTTATTTAAGTCATAAAAAGGATTCTTGAGGTAGGAATCACCAACTTATTCTTAGAATAGAATTTCTATTGGATACAAAACTATTACTATCATTTCAAACTAGGACTGGCCTCGTATGAGGAGAGCTGCGTGAAGGCTGTGCTGGTGCTTTCGCAGGAGAAGTTTGGTGCTGACCTCTGCTCCCCTCTCATTAGTCTTGTGTAATTCATTTGCCAAAGACTTTCTACATTCTGTTTCTTCTAGATAGAGTTGCCTATATTTTTCCCATTTACAGTATTAAGAAGTTTTCATGTTAGAGAGTTCAGATTCCAGATCTTTAGTTCTGAATTCAAACTGCCTTCTTATTAAAGCATTATTATTCTCTCTTAACTGCTCCAGATTTTCTTGAGCAGTTTATAGACATGCTTGTGTCTGTAAAAATAGATTGACTTGTTCTAATTTTTCTGCTACATCCTGTCGTGTTCTTGCTTCAATCTTCTGTTTATACTGTTCTTCTTTACAGTATTCTACCATATTCATTTTCATGTTTTCTGAGGTTTACTTCTTTTTGTTTCCACTTCTCTTTTATATTCCTTAGTTTTTCACATTTCTTTTGAATTGCTTTCACTGATAATAACTTCTGTTGAAGTGTATTTTTTTTTTTATCCAGACATATTTATACATTTTGAAGATGCAGGTTGCATTTTTGCTGTAAGATCATCATTCTGATAATCTCCTTTTCTAATTCATCTTTTTAAAAAATATATTTTTTATTGATTTTTTACAGAGAGGAAGATTGAGGGATAGAGAGTTAGAAACATCGATGGGAGAGAAACATCTTTCAGCTGCCTCTTGCACACCCCCTACTGGGGTTGTGCCTGCAACCAAGGTACATGCCCTTGACTGGAATTGAACCTGGGACCCTTCAGTCCACAGACCGACGCTCCACCACTGAGCCAAATCGGTTTCGGCTAATTCACCATTTTTCTTCATTTCTTGATGCAAGCTATATTGCAGAGATAGGTTTAACTCAATATATTTCTTCAAATGTTCCTTTTCATGCTGAGAATGGTCCCGCTCCCTCTAAGCTCCAGTGCTGGGCGGCATCATTGGGTGAATCAGGGACATAAGGGGAGGAACTGGACTGTCTGACATCAGGGCAAGAATTCAGGGGTGGCTTTCTCCCAGACGGAGCTGCTCCTAGGGGTCATTGTTCCTGATCATCCTGACTCTTTTGTATTTGATGTGCCAGTACCCAGTAAGTACTCAATAAATGTAGTTTACTGATTTCTTGCCTTGTAATGTTTCTTCCTTTCTCTGATGCACTGGAGCTCTCTCATTGCAATTGATGTCTTCATAGTACTGTGATCACACATCTCTTATTGGCATCTATTGTAGTAACAGAAGATCTTTGAAGGCAAAGATCACATCTTAAGTATTGTTCTAACTACCCTATAGTGTCACTAGTTTTCACGTGGAAAAATTTAATCTCTCATCCTGTTCCAAGGACACACAGGAAGCACCAGTGCATCACATTCACATTCATCCCTAATTTCTCTACCTTTCCTCAGCCTCTCCTGTTCTCATCCACATGGTGAACCCTCTACTTTGGAGTCTCTTACTGTGATTTGAGCATTTAGTAGTACTTAATGGGTAAGGCCATGTTGGCTGAACTATTTTTGCAACCGAGGGACAACAGATAGGAAAGTATCTTGGAAAATGAAGTAACACCCTTGCCAGATAGCTCAGTTGCTTAGAGCATCATCCTGATACATTAAAGCAGCGGGTTTTATCTCCAGTCAGGGCATATACAAGAAGCAACCAATGAATGCATAAATAAGTAGATCAACAAAATGGATGTTTCTGCCGGGCCAGTGTGGCTCCATGGTTGAGCATCGACCTATGAACCAGGAGGTCATGGTTCGATTCCTGGTCATGGCACATGCCTGGGTTGTGGGCTTGATCCCCAGTTAGGGGGCCTGCAGGAGACAATGATTCTCTTATCATTGATGGCAATACCTATCCCTCCCTCTCCCTCTCTAAAATCAATAAAAATATATTTCAAATAAGTTAGTGAGGATGTGAGAAATTGGAATCCTCATGTAATAGGGATGTAAAATGGGTATAGCCACTTGGAAAAATAGCTTGGCAATTACTTAAAAGGTTAATCTTGGTTATCCTGATAACCCAGCAATTTTACTTCTAGGAATATACACAAGAGAAATGAAAACATGTTTACACAAGAACTTGTAAATGATTGTAGCAGATTTATGCATAATAGCCAAAAATAATACAACCCAAATATCCATCAGCGATGGATGAAATAAAGTGGGGCATAGCCATACAGTGGAATGTCATTCAACCAGAAGGAAATAAGTGCTAATTTTGCTACAACAGAATGAACCTTGAAAACAAATGTAAATGAATGAAGCCAGACACAAAAGCCACATAATATATTATTTCATTTATAGGAAATGTCCAGAATAAGCAAATTCTTAAAAATAGAAACTTGATTACTTGTTGCCAGGGATGGGGCAAAGGGGATTTCCATTTGGGGTGAAGAAATGTTCTGGAGTTAGTAGTGATGATTGCACAATCTTGTAAATATACTAAAAACACTGGATTATACATTTAAACATGGTTTTAATACTATGTAAATTTTATCAAAAATTTTTTAATGTGATGTTTCTTTTAGAATTTTAAAGCAAACATTAAAAATATAAGGTTTTGACTTCAATTTCTCCATTCTTATACAAGTAGAAGAGAATATGTGTTTACCAAAGATTAATTACTGTTGAGATAAAGACTAAGAACAAGTAAAAGTCAGCTAACTAGGCAGCTCACTTCTTTAAAGAAGATCAAAGTGTAAGTCTCATTTTTCTAAACAGTGTGGTAGGTAGGTAGGTAGAGTTGCTTTCCATATTTTGCATGTAGGAGATAGGAGATTAAGGGGTTAGTCATCCAGCAACGTGACTCAGACCAGTAATTTACATCCTTTTTGCCTCAATAACACTTAATTTTTCTCATGTTCAAAGCGTTAGCTCATGCCTAAATACTTCATAAATTTCTTTTCCTGGAGTAATTTAAGACTGGATCAAATTTGAACATCAGGTGGCATAATTATAAAACATTGAGATAAGAATCTGGCTAGCCATTAGTAACATGTAAGAAGTTCTGGTGGATGGAATATTAAAGAATCGTTATTTGAAATCTCTTGTATAAGACATTCCTTAGCATTCCCACTAATGTCTCCAGTTGGTTTTAAAAAAAATAGTAATCGTCTTTAAACTCTTGATATTGAAACCCAGGAAAATGAGTAATGAGAGGAGTAAATATTGTTTTTAGAATTTCAAAGAATTTTTAAAGTACATCGAGAAACCCAGAAATCATAAAGTTCTGGATTCCAAATTGAGTTTAGGAATCTCCTGAGCTTTGCTTTCAAGTACAGTAATGTGTCACAGGGATACCTTCTGAGAAAAGCACCGTTACGGGATTTTGTCATACAAACGTCACAGTGTGCACCTACACAGACCTAGATGGTACCGTCTACACATACCTGGGCCATGTGGTTCAGCCTTTTGCTACACAACCCTGCACAGAATGTTACTGTGCTGAATACTGTAGGCAAGTGCAACACAATGGTAAGTATTCGTATATCTGCACTCAGAAAAGGTACACAAATGTCTGAGGCTGATGCCCACATAACACAGCACAGTTTTACTGTAAATATATATATATATATATATATATATATATATATATATATGTTTTTTCAAGTAGAGTACACTCTAAAATGACCATAAGAACCGGCCGCTATGGCTCAGTGGTTGAGTGTTAACCCATGAACCAGAAGGGTACTTGCCCAGGTTTCGGTCTCGATCCCCAGTAGGGGGCATGCAGGAGGCAGTAGAGCAATGATTAAGGGGTTAGTCATCCAGCAACGTGGCTCAGACCAGTAGTTTACATTCTTTCTGCCTCAAAGAGCAATGGTTCTCTCTCATCACTGATGTTTCTCCTTCACCCTCTCCCTTCCTCTCTCTGAAATCAATTAAATAACATGACAGGAAGTGTAATGTAGTAAATATATAAACTAGTAACAGTCATTATCAATATTGTGTGCTGTGCATAATTGTATGTGCTACACCTTTATACAACTGGCAGTGCAGTAGGTTTGTTCATATCAGCATCACCACAGACATTTTTACAGCAGCTGTGTCATTAGAAGATGGGAATTTTTCAGCTCCCTTATATTTGTATGGGACCACTGTGATTTATGTGGTCCATCAGTGGATTGAAACATTATTCAAAGCATGACTATAGATATGTAATTACACCTGTTAAGAGCAAAGTTCAGCCCTGGCTGGTGTGACTCAGGTGGCTGAGCACTGTTCCCTGCACCGAGAGGCCACTAGTTCCATTCCCCATCAGGGCACATGCCCTGGGTTGTGGGCTTGATCCCCAGAAGGGGCCCTGCAGGAGGCAGCTGGCAAATGTTTCTCATGGCTCTCTCTATATCTTTCCCTCCTTCTCTCTCTAAAATAAATAAAAGCATTAAAAAAAAAAAAAGAACAAGCCCTAGCCGGTTTTGCTCAGTGGTTTCAGTGTCGGCCCACGGACTGGTCTCTGGTTCATTTCTGTGGAGGGCACATTCTTTGGTTGCAGGTGGGTATTTGCTAGAGGCAACCAACTGATGTGTCACTCTCACAATGATGTTTCTCTCTCCCTTCTTTCCCCTTCCCTTTCACACTCTCTAAAAAAGTCAATGGAAAAAAAAAATCTTTGGGTGAGCATTAGCAACAACAAAAGGGAAAAAGTTCAGGAAGTAAATTGGAAGCTCTAATTGGCTTTACAAAGCAATTCATGAACCATGCTGTATTTCACTTAGCATCTATAAGGGCACTCAGAAGGGATGAACAAAATGGAACATTTTTGTAGGAAGCAGGGTGAGGCAGGGGAGCTGTTAACAAAAGAAAAGGAAAATCATTTTTTTAGACCAGGACATCTTTTAAGGGAGGGCAAGGGTTTTTAGTCCCATAAATTGCCTCTTCTGACGGGGAAGGGGGGGGGGGGGAGGAGATGGGGGATGAAGAGGGCCCACGTGACAGATGACCTCATTGGTGTTGACCAGAAAATTCCACATTAGTTGATTAAGATTACATTTCTAGCCCTAACTGGTTTGGTTCAGTGGATAGAGTGTCAGCCTGTGGACTGAAAGGTCCCAGGTTCAATTCCAGTCAAGGGTACTTACCTTGGTGTGTGCAGAAGGAAGCTCATCGATGTTTCTAACTCTCTTCTTTCCTCTCTGTAAAAATCAACCATATATATATATATATATATTTTTTTTTTTATTTATTTTTTTTTTTTAAGATTACATTCTGGCCCTACTTGGTTTTCTCAGTGGCTAGAGCATTGGCCTGCAGATTGAAGGATTCCATTCTCAATTCCAGTCAAGGGCACTTGCCCAGGTTGTGGGCTATCCCCAAGTAAGTAGGGGCATGCAGGAGGCAACCGATCAATAATTCTCTCATCATTGATGTTTCTATGTCTCTCCCTCTCCTTTCCTCTCTGAAATCAATTTATATATATATATATATATATATATATATAGATAGATAGATAGATAGATAGATAGATATAGATATTCAATAAAAACATTTTTAAGAGATTAGACAAATTTATAATAAGTTTTCATTGAGGTTTGGTGACCAGAACTAAGCTATTTATATCTCTAAAAGCAACCTAAAGTCCCAGGACTGCCCTGTCCAATCTTCTATGGTAGACATTTTCTGAAAAGAGCCAGATAGAAAATACTTTAGGCATTGCAAGCTGTACATACACAGTCTCTTTCACTGCTATTCAACTCTACTAATGTATCATGAAAGCAACCAACCTTAGCAAAGGAGCATTGTGCTATATATTTATCTAATGACACTGAAATTTGCATGTTATAATTTTTACATCACAAAATATTTTCCTTCATTTTTTTTTTTTTAATGAAAAATGTAAAAAAAATTAAACCTTAGTCACAGGCAATACAAAAACATGTAGAGGGTCAGATACAGGCCCAGGAAGGATCCTTATGTCACCAACCTCAAGAGGGAGCTCTAGGATTTC